TTTTTTTTTTTATTTTGGCATTGGAGATTCATTCACTGCCACATTATCCAAGTTACAAGAGGTGTTAGATACTTACTTGTAGATGTCAAGGACTTAATAATCTTAAATTGTGAAGTTTAGGATCTTATTTCTTTAAAAACTCTTAAGAAAAAATTTTAAAAAATAAATCGATTATGTTTAAAAATTAAAACAACAAATTTTTATTTCTTAACCTAATTAGATTACAAATTATATGACATAAATTTAAAATTTTTTACTTTTATTAAAAAAATATCATTTAAACTATTTATCTTGTTACCAATTTGTTTTCATTAGTATTGATGTGAAGTATCGAAGTTTTTTTTTTTTTGGTTGTCATATGTGAAGTACTGAATAACATATTTTAATTTTCAAAATTTTTTTACAAAAGTAAATGAATGTTATTTTCTCCAATAAGACAAAGACAAAAGAAAAATCCCAACTTTGATCTTAAATTGACTTTTTTTTTTTTGTTTTTTTGTTTTTTTTTGGCATTGGAGATTGACTCATTGCCACATTATATGCAAGTTACAAGAGCTGTTGGATACTTACTTGTGGATGTCAAGGACTTAATAATCTTAAATTGTGAAGTTTAGGAGCTTATTTCTTTAAAAACCCTCGAGAAAAAAGTCTGAGGCAAAGTCGGTGTTCTTGCTCTTCTATACTATCGTGTTCTGACACTCCTCCGGTGTCGTGTGCCTGAAGATTAGAGAACCAGAAGCTCGAATCCACGGAAATACTGAGGGAGGATTGGGGAAATGGAGAGCAGTGAAGAAGACGACGATTTCCCATCCATTGAGGGCATTACTCCGCAGTCTAAGATCGATTCTGTCCATCAATCAAACACTGAAAAGGTGTTTTCTTTCTCTTTGATTCAATGTTTAGAGAAATGGGTCTTGGTTCTTCTTCTTCTATTTTGATTTCCCTTGTAACTTAGTTGTAAGATCCCAAGTTTTGTTTTTTTATTTTGCTTTGTTACTGGGTCTTTCTTTCTACATAGACTAGATTTATGGGGTTTCTTTGATTGGACTTGTCTTTGTTCAGTTAAGTAGATGGATGATGCTCTCTGCGTAAATTTTTATTGCATTTCAGTATGTTTTATTAATGAAAAGCTGAAGAGGCTGCTCTTTCCCTTCGATTTTTCTGCTAGACATTTCCAATTTTACTCCTGGAAGTCTTAAATTGAGCTGTTGTGTTATTTCAGGGTATTAGAAAACTTTGTTGTGAGCTCCTGGATTTGAAAGATGCAGTGGAAAACTTATGTGGCGATACGCAAGCAAAATATTTGGCTTTCTTGAGGTAATAAAATGTTCATCTTTATCTCTTTATGATGAATGAAAAAGGAGGCATGCTTCAATTTTTTGATCAGGTATTTGATCATGCTTACCCAGTTATGTTTAAAATGGTTCTGCTAAGATGTATACCTGTAGATGCATTAAGTATATGATCATGCTTGCTTAATTTTTGGTAAGCATATATGTTCAACAGAAGTGGCATCTATGTTTTTGTCAATGGTATTATTTCTTGCCCTTCTCAATTCTATATATGAACCAAAATGACTCAGTTATCCAGTCTAAGAAACCTTATATCCATTTCAGTGGGTATGATGTGGCTATGATATAATTGCAGAATATCTGAAGAAGTTATTGAAATGGAACATGAGCTGGTTGAGCTGCAAAAGCATATCTCTTCTCAACGGATTCTTGTGCAGGACTTAATGACTGGTGTGTGCTGTGAATTAGAAGAGTGGAATCGAGCTAATGCTGACAGTGGGGAATCTCAACTGGACCCTGAAATCAGTGAAGTTGAAGACTCCTTACCAAATGAAATAGAAGATCCAAAGACATTATTTTTGGAAAAAATTGATGTTCTGTTGGGTGAACATAAAGTTGAGGAAGCATCTGAGGCTTTAGATGCTGAAGAAAGAAACTCCATTGAGCTAAAAGGTTCTGGAGATACTTCAAGTGAAGCATCTGCGTATAAGTCTGCTTTTCTAGAAAGAAAGGTAATGCTTGAGGATCAGCTGGTTGAGATATGTGAACGGCCTTTGGTTGGTACTGCTGAACTGAAGAAGGCATTGTCTGCTTTGATTAAACTTGGTAAGGGCCCTTCAGCACATCAGTTATTTCTAAAGTGTTATGGTTCCCGCCTCCAGAAGAAGATTGAGGTTCTTCTTCCTTCATATTCTGTTTGTCCCAGGACATTTCCTGCCACACTATCTAGACTTGTTTTTTCTATGATCTCATTGACAACAAAAGAATCTGGCTCGATATTTGGTGATAATCCTATCTATACCAACAGAGTTGTTCAATGGGCAGAATGGGAAATCGAATGTTTTGTACGTTTGGTGAAGCAGAATGCACCATCTTCAGAAACAGTTTCCGCTTTATGTGCGGCTAGCATTTGTGTGCAGGATAGTCTCAAATATTGCTCAATGTTGGAATCACAAGATCTGAAATTATCAAAGTTGCTTCTGGTTCTCCTGCAACCTTATATTGAGGAAGTATTGGAGTTGAATTTTAGAAGAGCTAGGAAGACAGTTTTTGATTTCACAGGAGTTGATGAGAGCTTCCCACTGTCTCCTCACATTATGTCTCATTTGTCTGTTTTCCCAACTTCTTCAGATAATATTCTGATTCGCAGCAGAAGATTTATGTATATCATTGAAGTAAGTTGGTGCTTTCTGCCACATTTAAAAAGCAAATTAGTTTGCATTATTGTTCCTATTTTACCTGAAGTACCTCACTTATTTTTACAATAATTAGATGTAAACATTCTACGCTTACCTATAAATGAGCCTGAAAAATTAGGACAAGCAGATGAGTGAGAATGAGACAACTCCAATACTATGCATTAGATATTTATTTGAGAAGTACCTTGGAAAATGGAAACAGATTATAAAATTAATTTTACACATTTGTGAATGCCATTAAACCTGCTTGCAAGTTCAAGTTTATTTTGCCTGTGAAATTGTGCCATTTGATAGTGTTTGATTGATCTTCTATATTTTATTGATACACAAAAATTACACAAAAATGAAAGAGTGGTTGATACTAAAGTATGAAGGATGTGCACAACAGTACCTTAACATGTCCTAGGTTACTTTGTCTGTATTTTGTTTGAAGAAATACTTGGTAAACACCTTTCATGGGCCCAAGGCTGTTGAATAGCTATGTGCTTTTTGTTTTGTTTTGTAATTTTCCCTTGCCTGTTAGAGTTCTAAAAACAAGTCTCCACTGCTCTGCATTTTCTATGCCTGTGCTTGTCAACCTGCCTCTGTTCCAGGGCTTTATTCACTCACATATTTGCATGTATTATAATATGCATGGCACACTTGTCAAGATGCTAATGCAGCTGCACTAATTGTAGTTTCTCATCAATGTAACTGTCCGTCTGATGATGTAAAATGTTTTGAATATCTTTACTTGGTCATGCACTTTTTGTCTGTTTGTGAGAGTTGAATACGGTGTGGTAGAATGGATGTTCAACAGGTTACTGCCCTCTTGTCTTGCAGACAATATATGATAACACAACATTGAAGTTTGTGGGTTCTCTATTTATGTAATTTACTGCCCTCTTGTTAGTGAGATAGTTCATCATGATTTGATATTAATTTTAAACTATCTTTGACAGGAGATATTGGTACAGCTCCCCCCACTGGCTGTTTTGCATTTTGGAGGAAATGTGCTTACTAGAATTTCACAGCTGTTTGATAAATATATTGATGCTCTACTTAGATCTTTTCCAGGCCCCTCTGATGATGAAAGTCTAAGTGAGCTGAAAGAGATCATAACCTTTAGAGCTGAAACAGATTCAGAGCAACTTGCTCTTCTTGGTATAGCCTTCACAATATTGGATGAACTTTTACCTAGTGTAGTAATGAAAGTTTGGAGTTCGAAGAGTGAAAACCAGGAAGATGGAAATGAGAACATTGTTCCTAATGCAAGCACAACAGAATTTCTGCCGCCTCTCCTAAAGGACTGGAGGCGCCATCTCCTGCATTCTTTTGACAAGCTCAGAGATCATTTCTGCCGCCAATACGTTTTGAATTTCATCTATTCAAGTGAAGGGAAAACACGATTGAGTGCACAAATTTATTTAAGTGGGAATGGTCAAGGTTTATATCAGGACTCTGATTCTCTACCTTCTCTGCCTTCTCTGCCTTTTCAGGTAATCTTTCTGGGTTTCCTTCGAAGCTATAAGGTGTCTTCTATTAGATACTACCCCTAGATGTTCTCCACTTAGCATTCCATCTAAACTTGATTTAGAGCCTGTTTGGTGTGGCCTGTGAGAGCTTTTGCTTTTTGAGTACTGTTATGAGTAATAAGTTTAAATTTTTATTGGAGGGAAAATAGAGCTTTAGCTTTTAGAAAGGTGAAAAAGTGAGTGAAAAGTAAGTAAAAAGAGAGTTTATGAAAAGTTTGGATTTGAAACTTTTGAACTTTTACTATTTAAGAGCTTTTTGAGGTTAAAAAAATATTTAAAAGTGTAAATTTTTAAGAGGGAAATTTAAATTCATGAGACATGAATAGTGTCCAAAAGCTGAAGCTCCTAGGAGCTGATCCAAACAGGCTTTACTCTCTTTCACAGATTCTGAGCATTTTTGTTATTATTGCAGGCATTATTTGCGAATCTGCAGCAGTTAGCAACTGTGGCTGGTGATGTGCTACTTGGAAAAGAGAAACTGCAGAAAATTTTGCTTTCTAGACTAACAGAGACAGTTGTAATGTGGTTGTCTGATGAACAGGAATTCTGGGGTGTGTTTGAGGATGAATCAATCCCACTTAAGCCAATGGGACTGCAGCAGGTACTTATGTGATATAAATTGTTTTGGAGGCAAACCTCAAGAGCAAAAGTATTTCATTTGGCATTGTGGTATTTTTGTCTCAACTGCTGCTCCTCCTTTCCCCTCAGTCCTTGCATGTCTGCATGTGTGTGTCTACCTTTCAAAAGCTCACCTCTTTCTTTATGTTTATCAAGTTCTTATGTGAATTTGTCTTGGCAGTTATATCTTGATATGTACTTTACTGTTGAAATTACACAATTTGCGGGCTTTCCATCTCGGCATGTTAACCAGATTACATCAGCCATAACTGCTCGAGCAATTAGTGCATTCTCTAGCAGAGGCAATGACCCACAGAGGTACTCTCACCTTTCCCATTTTGTCAAAACATTCTCTTATTCTCATCTCAATTTTTCACCAGCTCTGAAATTTCATTGCCTTTTTCAGTGCACTCCCGCCAGATGAATGGTTTGTTCAAACTGCAAAAACAGCCATAAGCAAGCTCCTAATGGGAACATCAGGCTCAGACACATCTGAAATCGAGGATGAAAATCATCTTGACCTACATGATGAGATCATTTCAGACTCTGACGACAATGCTTCTTCCCTAACAACAGTAGAATCTTATGAGTCTTTCGCTTCTGCGAGTATGGGAGAACTGGAGAGCCCCAATTTTACGGATCCTGAAGCATAAGACTTGGTTCAGCTGGTCAGTGAGGATCTTCTCTAACCAAAATTTTGATCTGGCTGATGCTGATGCTGATGCTTTAAGCAGACGGTATCTTAGGATTATTCAGAATGCTGATGTTACTGATTATAATTCCTTGTATCTATGTATTAATTGTTGGAGTATAAAGTGATGTGCATGCATAAGATCTCACATGGGAGGGAAATAAAGTGTTCGATTGCAATATATATGTAGAGGCCTTGGAACTTTATAAGCATGTCTTTTGGATTTAATATGGCTTCTCATATGTTTTCGTGTGTTCCGGAGGCAGCCTGAGAAGTAGGAGCCATGAATATACATTCATAATATAGGATCATGCTTGTAACATCATTGACCATGATGAATAATTCTTCCTGAATTTTTTAACATTAGTTTTTTCTTGGCGTATTTTGGTTCTTCTATTATACCTTTCTTTTTTCATTTTTTGCGGTAATTTTTTATTAATAATATCATGTTATGTTGTATTTCTATACCCTGTGCACATCCTATCAGAGAAAATGATTTAGATTCATAGGAGTGCAAGGAAGACGAATGTCTCTTGCAGTAGAAAATCAGCAAAAAATTACTGAAAAAGAAATAATCTTAGTTTTTCAATATCAAAATATTATTGAAGAAGGTTTGTTGGCTTAGTGGCCTAGTAATTTACAGTTTAATGTAAGCTTTTTTTTTATCATGACAAAGATTTGATTTTCCTCCTCACTCCACCCCTTCTCCTTTCCCGAATCATTTGCCCTAATAAAAAAAAAAAATCAAAATATTATTATTAAATTACCATCTTTTCAATTAAATAAGTAAATAAATTAAAAAAAATAATGTAAAGAATTTCTTTTCCCTCCACTTCAATTTTTTTTAATAATTAAATATGAAAAATTTTCCTTTTTCTCTTTTCTCCTCTTCGTTCCCTTCTACCAAACATAGTATTAATTATCTTGGCTAAGAACAGATCTATAAAAACTAGGCTATAATTAGTGCCTAGGTCTTATTTTTATATAGATTTTTCTATTTTGAAAGTAGAAGTTTGGTCAAAGTTACCTTTGGGTTTTTTCCCTTAAAGAAAGTTAGTTTTTTTTTTTTATTAAGGTATTTCTAAAAAAATTGAATTTACAAAATATAATTATTTTTTGTATATCAAAGTTTAGTTGTTGTTGTAGAAGTTTAGATCTTTGTTATTAACCTTAAATAAAAAATTTTTAATTAGTAGATATTAACTAAGCCAAACTCTTATGAGTTACAAACTTGCAATTGTTGGATTATAGATTTTGCAAGTAAAACTTTTAATTATTTATATTTAGAGACAGATGTTTTGGAATTTATATTTTTTGTTACATTTATATAATAAAAATGACTGATTATACAATTTAAATTATTAAATAAATGATGATTCTCTAAAAATAAGAATTGTAACCTTTATCTAATAGTTAATGTTTTGCAGTTGAATGATGATAGAGAGGAAGAAAATTTGAGATTAATGACATGATTTATGCGATGTCATCAAATTAATTGATGCATATAATATCACAAGTTCAAAAAACCTAATTATCAAATAATATAATCTATTTTTTAATATTTTAAATAATGTAACTTATGTCACATCATTGATTCCATATTTTAGTTTTAATTTTTTGTTTTATTTATCATTATTTTTTGTAGTTTAGACTGCAAAATGCAAAACTCTATATATAATTTTAGAAATAAAAAAGGTTAAATCTTTGATTTAGTTCCTAAATTATTGTATGAACCTCGATTTGGTCCCCAAAGTTTACCAATTTACCCAAAGTTTACCAATTTATCCTAAATTAGTCCTTTCGTACAAAAATCAAATGACATATTTTGTTATTAACATAACACATGACCATTAAGTTATTGTTTTTCATCGTTAAAATTAATATTTTTTGCCGTTAAGTAACGAAAATGTTAATTGGTTTTTGTATGGAATGACCAATTTTGGGTAAATTGGTAAACAATTGGGACAAAATTGGGGCTCCGTATAATAGTTCAAGGATCAAATAAGGGATTTTTTTAGTTCAGGGACCAAATCAAGGGTTCATATAGTAGTTCAGGGACCATATTGGGGGTTTAACCAAAAAAAAAAAAATCAACGTGGGCCGAGAAAGCACGGGAAAATGCATAGGTACAAAAACTATAACAGCAAGAGCATTACGAAACGCAAGAAAGCATGCTCTAATTAATGTCTCCAAGGGTTAGGGTTAGGGTTAGAATTTGTAGTGGAAAGGGGGAAAATGGGAGAAGAGATAGGGACGATAGGGAGCATAAATGTAAGCCGCAAGGATGAAGAAGAGTGGTAGCAACCAAAACCAGCAATGGAGACTAGAAAGGAAGAATTAGGGATTTGGGAAAGAATTTAGAATAGAAGTAGAAGGAGGAAAGAAGAAGACAATAGGAAGAAAGAGAGAAGTCAAGAGGGAAAGGAAGAACCATTTTCATTATTCATCAAAACTCATTTTAGTTACATGGACTAGGCCTTTTATAGCCTCTTTACATGCGTACAACCTCTATTAGCCCAGGTAGAACCTTATCACAACACATCTAAATCGGGTATGCATCAATGCACTTTCCTTTAGACAACCTTGTCCACAAGGTTGATGGAACCAAATGTGTATTCTCAAGCATATTTGGCTACTATTCTCCAAGACAAGATCAATTTGGGTAGCTTGGGTTCATGAATATCTTATCAAGGGTAAAAGCTTTTGGACACTCAACATACCAGCTGATGCATCCTAGGGGTGGAGGAAAATCCTCAAGCTTAGGCATATAGCAAAGGGACTTATC